AATGGTCAGAACTGGAGTCAGACGAACTTGGTTCAATTTTTACCTCTAGAAGAAACAGTCTACACAGGGTGTGGTCCACAGACCAGCGGCATCAGCATCGCCTGGGAGCTTGTGAGAAGGGCAGCACCTCAGGCTCCCCACCCCCAGACCTACTGAAACAGAATCTGCATTCTAACAAGATCACTAGTGATTCCTGCTCGTGTTCAGGTTTGAGAAGCTCTGCCGTAGCTCATGTAACCCAAATGAGCCTCATTTTCCTGCTCTGCCAAATGCACACAGGAAGATCTACCCCAGAATATCGTACGAAGAATTCCTAAGACCATTTGTGAGGTGTTTGGCATGGCACCTGACCACTGAGTATGGGCCGAAATCAATTGTTTCCTTCTATTTTCTCAGCATCACTTGCTTCTGAATAATATTATTATATAATCTTGTTCTCCGTAATATCTTTTTGCTGCCCTCTGTACATCAAAAGGGCTTTAACCTCTATGATCTTCCTTCTGTCTCTTCAAATCCCAGAAACACATAAAAAAATTTGCAAAATTCATGAGCTCGATGGGGACTAAGGGATCTCCTGTTCAACCTCCCCTTTGAAGCCAGAAATGCCATTGTTTTTTAAAGATCCCAGACTTACCCATTCTTTATCTACTCACTCAGCTGTCATCTTTTAGGTACCAGGGTGATACCAGGTACCCAGTAGTTATTTGCTGGTTGCTGGATAAGTTAATGAATGAGGGTCTGTGAACTCTGGCCCATTCTCAACTTTGTCGAAATCTTACGATTCTTATTTTCTTTATGACTTACTGTGTCCTTTCTTTCTTCTGTTGTAAAAAAATGGTATATCTCACATTTCTCCTTGACCACTCGCTCCCCTATCCAAGACACCTAAGAATATATATATATATATACAAATACACATATATATAATCTATATTAATTCATATATGTATGAATTATTACAAATGTGTTCATATTTTGAGATTAGATATTTTAATTTCATACTTTGCCAACCAACTAGATGGTAAGATCCTTGAAGGAAGGAGGAAAAAGACCATGAGATCTCCTTCTTGAGACATCAGTGCCTAAGAATGTATGTTTCTCAGTGAATATTAGATATTGATGATCAATGCTGAAAAGTGCCTTTGAGTGTTGTTACTAAACTACTGAGAATGAAAGATCCCCATGCTGCACTCCATTATTTCAGAAAGGGCACAACAGTTAGGCAGAAAAAGGACGGTAAGATCTTATTGGGATTCTGTGTGTCTGTTAAAGGAGGTCAGGAGCCCTTTTCCTGGGGAAACGCCTGGCAGGCTTCACATAAGAGGTTCCCCCAATAACCAAACACTCCATTTAAAGGTTATATTTACATAGCTCATTAGGAAATTTTTTTATACTTTTGACACTCATTAGACTCATAATCGTCCACCAAAGCTACTCTATAACAAGAGATAAACACTCCATTCCAAAGGATGAATAATAATTAGGGACCGCTCAGCACTGTGCTCTTTCCAGGTCTAATTTTAGAGCATAATTAATCCTGCTGACGCTGTATAAGATGAGTGAAATATTTATGCAACTGTGTTAATTCATGTATTTACTCCTAGAGAGACATTCAGAATTGGACATGGCTTTCTGGGAAGATTATCTTGACGCCCCCTGGAGCAACGTCATTTTCTCCCCAATGCCTTTGCCTCCAGATGGTCTCTAACGATGGAGCTGCGAAGACACATTCCCAACCCAGACAGTCTGACCGGGAAAGCCATGAGCCAGGACAGAAAATATCTCTAAGACTCTAGATGCCCTGTGAGTATAAGGAAAACATCTTTGGCTTATTTGGATGTCTTTTTTTTTTAATTTACCACAAAGAGGACATTTTCTGTTCAGCACTGTATTTCCATGACACTAACTTGACCATATTATCACCAACACAACACTAAATAAGCTATGTTGAATACTGGAGTGGTGGATGGACAACAATGATGAGGAGGCAGGTGGAGAGTGAGGTGGAGAAGGAGGGGAAAGAGGAGGCAGAGAAGAATGATAATGGTGGTGATCATCATGGTGCTGGTGATGATGAAGGTGGTGGTGATGATGACGGTGATGAAGGTGGTGGTGATGATGGTGGTGGTGCTGGTGATGATGGTGCTGGTGATGGTGATGATGGTGTGGTGATGATGGTGGTGCTGGTGATGATGGTGGTGGTGATGATGGTGGTGGTGATGGTGATGATGGTGGTGATGGTGATGGTGATGATGGTGGTGGTGATGATGGTGGTAACAGTTAGCATTTATTGAACCATTTCTATTCCCAGGTAGCTGTACTAAGTTAAGCTCTTTACATATAACCTCTCACTTTATCTTCACAACAACCTTATCAGGTAAATATTTCTGCATTCAACTGCAAATGAGTAAACTGAGGCTGAGAAAAATGACCCTTTTCATAGAAGCATTTGTAAATGGAACAATAGATATTATTCACATATACACTAAATTATTTCTTTCCAAAGGATCTATGCATCTTGAGCATCTAATTAGCCAACTTTGATAGACATCCTAGAGAATTAAGTGAAACAGGAGTCTTACATAATTGAGTTCCATCCAGAGTAAGGCCCCTTACGTAGAGACTTTGCCACTTTCTCATTAGGGGATTCGTAAGCTCACTGAGCTTCAGTTTCCTCCTCTGTAAAACGAGTAGCAGCAATATTTAACTTCACAAAGTTGTTATGAATATCAAATTAAAGAACACATGTAATGCATCCGGCGTGTTGATTGGCATATCCTATTCCCTAAATATGTTACTATTTCATAATAGATGCTGTTGAGAATGACAGCCATGGTAGGTAGGAGTAGAGTTACAACTGACTTATTTGACAGCTACCCATCATATTTAGAAGTTTCCTGTCAAATGAGATACATCCTGATACCAACCGTTCATCTGTGTGTGTATTTATTCGTCCAGTCCTGCATTGATCAGTGCCTGTTACGGTCAAGATTGTGGGGTGTTTACTGCTGGAGCAAGACTCTGGTTTGCTGAGTAGTTCTCCCCATGTGGAGGTGCTCAGGCAGCCTCCACGGGACAACTGGCCTCAGTGCATTGTGTAATTCCAAAACTCCTCCCGTGAGAGGTAGCGTAGACCTCCAGAGTATACTTTGGGCTTGGCCATAGGACTTGCTTTGGAGAGAAGGGTGTTAGCCGATGTGAATGTGGCAAAGAAGAGACTTGAACTCTGCATGTGTAGGCAGGTGTTTTTTTCTATGCCTCCAACAAAGCCAAGGAAAGGGCTTTTTCCAGCTAGCCACTGCCCCTTCGGCCTGAGACCCAGAACCAGCATGCGTGGAACAGAGACCACAGAGATGATCCACAGGCTTGCAGCAGGGAGTGGAGCCACCGCAGCCCGAGACGGAGCTTCTCCACTCAACCTGCACTCCCACAAGCCGAAGAAATGCTTATTGTCCTCTGCCTCTAAGACTTCACAGCAATCGTTGACCACCACAGACACAAATCATGACCACACAGCAGAGAATATGGCTCTCGATCTGAGTGAGGAAGGGACAGATGCCCTAAAGGGAATTCAAAGAATCAGCTACTCTTATTTGGGAGTTAAATATAAAGCACATGTAGATCTCGTGATGGTTCTGTGAGAAATCTAGGGTTTAATTCTGGGAGGAGAGAGGGTAAGGAATTATGCACTTTGTTCAAATCCACACCAAACATATGCACGAACCTCTGCCCATTCCGACTCTGTATTTGGCCAGAGTGGTTGCCAGACTGTCCTCTCCCAGCTCTAGATGGGCACGTTCTGTAACCATCTCTGATTATAGCCTCCAACCTTCTTAAAGGCAGCTTCTGCCCTAAGCCCTGGGGTTTTATACCTTATTTATACTCAAGTTTTCAGAGTTAACTTGCCATCTCTGCTGGCTTTGCTTTTCCTATCCCTGTGTCGGTAATTCACAGGGTAACTAACATGCCATTTGAGCTAGGACAGGATTCTAAAAACCATGTCATGGAGCAATGGGCTGTGGTGAGACCACCAACTATGAAGGACAGAAGAAAATGAATGCTGTTGGAGATCATCAGCCTACTTAATTGTACAGTTCCATAAATATGGTAATCCCACTAGACTGTCAGCCCTGTGAGGGCGGAAACAGTTTTTTTTTTCCCCACATGATAGGCAGTCGAGAGGTGGACTATAGTGGAAACCCATGGGATTTCTGCTCACAATTTCTTTTGTAGAGACTGCTTCTCCTTTGTTCCTCCGTAGGGTAATAATAGGAGCCGTTGTGTTAGAACAACATGGCCCTGCCCCTTATCCACTCCTGAAGGGTTCAGGAAAGAGCCCTTGACCCAAAATGCATCAGGAATCTTCCCTCTCGAATTTGAAATTTAGAATTTAGAAAATAGAGTTTGGGACTCAGAGCCTAGTTATGTAATGTCCTTGCTCTAGAGCAGAGTTTCCTTTTTTTTTTTTTTGTAACCTTTTTACTGCTAATGTTTGGAGTCAGAGAGTCCTGTGTTTTGAGATGTAGGGGGCTGTCCAGGGCACCGTAAGGTGTTTGCCTGACCTCTCCCCATTAGATGCCAGTATCAAACCAGCTTCCTTGTCATGATGATCAAATCTCCATACATAGCCAATTATCTCCTGCATCCCCCACCCCAGCCCCCCCAGTGAGAACCACTGCTCTAGAGAGAGGACCTATGAATTCCTGCTGTTGAGGCCCTAGGACTGCCCTGGTTCCTGTTTTTCCTGCTGAACCTATTTGCTCAACTCTTTCCTAAATTCACTGAGATAGACACTTCTGCATCCTTCTGATAAATTCCCTTTATTTAGTTATCTGTAATTGGTTTCCATCACAAGCAACCTAAAGAATCATGGTGTCATGTGATCGGCACTCAATAAACACTCTTAGTGAGCAAACTCATCACCCAAAGGTCCATTAGGAAACGGAGACAGTGCGAGGGTCTCAGGTCTCCAGAAGGAAGGGGGCCCACCAAGGTCTTACCATCACCAACAAACTGGAGCAGGGCCAAGTCAATCTGCCGCTTCCAAGGGGAACCCTTCTGGAGGGCAATTCCGTAACCGGTGGTGGCAAAGATGTACCCACTCCCAATGGTCACCAGCTTGCAGCCTTCGTCCCTCCCGGCCTTGTAATTCAAGACCGCAGCGTCATAGATGAACGCGTCCAGTTTCCTGCAACGACAAGAAACCAAGGAGTCACGGGGATGGTGAGCGAGGTACGATCTTGAGGCCCAGCTCCCGAGGCCTGTTCCAACATCACGCACTTTCTTTCACACAGGAGATGATGACTCATGACGGCTCCATCCCATCATCATAAAAGGATCTATTTTTAATGAGGAGATAAAAGCCAGGACCTTTTCTCTCCGAGTTACAAGAGGCGGCTAAATAAAGGCAGGTAGAATCCTTATGCCCAAGTGAGTAAACAGTTGAGTCTGCTGGTTTGCTAAGTGTCTGCCCTTAGCACGCCCAACAGTGGAGAACAGTGGCCTATTTAGAAAGGTTTGCATCCGAACAAAATAAACCATTAAGGGACAGGAGAACTTGGCGGTTGCATGCGGGAAAGGAGAGAGACTAAATAGGAATAATATCTCTCCCCGCCCAAAGGAACGTGTTTACTATTTTTTGTATCACAAGAATTATTATGTAATAATCTTTAGAAACCCAATTCATGTAGAAAATATTAAGACTACAATTAAAATTAAATTGCCTGTCATTCCATAACTCAGAGGCAATCTCTGTTAACATATTTGTGAATGACCTTCCAAATTTTGTGTGTGTGTGTGTGTGTGTGCAGACACACACACACACATCTTCTAAAAGAGGGGTTGGTAAGTTTTTCTGTAGAGACAAGGTAATAAATAGTTTAGGCTTTGCGGGCTAGCTATAGTCTTCATTGCAACTACTCAATTTTGCTATCGTAGCATGTTATAGGTTGAACCATTTCCTCAAAATTCATATATTGAAGCCGTAACCCCCAGTGTCTCCAAATACGATCTTATTTGGCGATAGCGTCATTGCAAATGCAATTAGTTAGGATGAGGTCATCCTGGAGTACAGTGGGCTCCTAATCCAATATGATCAGGGTCCTTAGAAAAAGGAGAAATTTGGACCCAGACATGCACACAGGAAGAAGGCCGTGCGAAGGCTGGAGTTACGCCGCCACAAACCTACGATCTATCAGGAGAGGCTGGGGACAGACCCCTCCCACGTGCCTCAAAGGGAGCACGGCCCGGCTGACACTTTGATCTCGGACGTCCAGCCTTGAGACGTATGAGACAAAAACCCGCCTGTTGTCTAAGCCTCCTGCTCTGTGATGCTTTGTCACTTAGCCCTAGGAAACTAATAGCCAGCATGAAAGCAGCCATAGATAACACATCAGTGAATGGATTCAACTCTGTTCTAATAAAAGGTTATTTACAAAAACTGGTTGGCCCATGGGACATAGTTTGCAACCCTTGTTCCAACTCCCGCCAAAATAATTATTCCATGCAAACCATTTCACCAATGGCATTCTTTTCTCATTTCACCCCACACATAGGGCACATATTTCTATGTCAGTAAACAGACTATTTAAAATTTTTTGGTACATTTATTTTTATTGAGGTATAACTTATATGG